GGCCTTCTTGGGTCTTTCCTGAGCATGCAACCAGCCCTAAACATGTGCACAGCCCTACACATGCACTGGCTGCTGGGAATAAGTCAGAGCTCCTCAAAGCTCCCTGTGGACATTTCATTCCCCAGCTTCCCCTTTTACGGGGGGTTTTGGTTAGCTTTTTTGCTTCAACTGTTAGTATTACCTCAGGCAGCTGCCACTGGATTTTTTTTTTTTTGGTGGTGGTGGTGAGGGGATTGAATCAAGGTATCACACATGCTAACCAGATGCTCTGCCACTTAGCTATATGGCCAGTCACAGCCACTGATTGTTTTTAACAAACACTCTCAGGAAAAAAGGCTGTTTCCACTGGGTAAATTATGAATTAGGTCAAATAAAGCCAAATCTCACAAATATTTTTCAGGGAACGGCCAGATAGTTCAGATAATGACAGTTCTCTGAGAATGGGGCTTCACACTATCTCTGAACTTATTCTGCCCCCGTAACTTCTTGGCTACTGGTTTTCACCATGATTTCAGGTGGCCAAAGTCTGGGAAGACTGATAGCACTTTAAAGGCCAAAAGGCCCACAGCTGCCTTCGAAACATGCTTTTTACAAGTGACACTCTCTCCTGGCCTTCCCTCACCCAGCCTATCTAAGTCTCATGCCATGCTTACTGACAAGCTTGGTGACACAGGTCCCAGGAAGCGTCCCCTGAACAGCCCACTGCCAAGTCTCCTGTGCATCATGTGTGTCTCATTTCCAATCAATCTCCAATACCTATGCCTTGTCTCTCTACCCAGATCACCTGTAATCCCAGCCCAATGCATGCAAAATAAATTGTTCTAAAGTAAAGGGGTAAAACATACTTCAAGTGTGCATCATTTGACCCAGCAATTGGAAATTCAAAAGTTTATCCTAAGAAAGTAATTAGCAAAATGTATGAATAGATGGAAGTGTGTTCACTGAAATGGTCCTTCACAATGGCAAACTGGAAAGAAAATAAATGCCCAACAACAGAAGACTGGTTAAAATAAGTAGCACAACCATGCCATATTCTCTATGTGAGCACTGGAAATGATGAGGCTGAACCCATATCTATTAACATGGAAAGACGCCAGTGACATTTTGTTACATGAAAGAAGTTTGTCAAGAACACTGGGATGACATTCTTCTAAATGATTCCATCGTCTCTACCACCAAAGTCATTAAAAGTTTCCATACAGCAATGTGATGATCTCTCTCAACAGGGTATTCTTTTCTTCTAACATTTCCTGTATTTAAGATTTTATTAAAAAAAAAAAAAGCATATGTAATTTTTGTTTGTTTTTTGAGACAGGTTCTTGCTATGTAGCCCTGGCTGGCCTCGAATTCATGGCAATCCTCCTGCCTTCCTGCTTCAGCCTCCTGAGTGTGGGGACTACAGACATGCGCCACCATACCTGGGGCCACACACATATGTAATTTTTAAAATTTTTAACTATTGTTTTCTTTTAATAGTCAATATATTTGACCACTTGATCATTCTCCTTCTGGTAACCTTTATTTTTTTGCTTAAATTTTTTTATTGGTACATTTTAGGTAAGCAATATGTTTACATTTATCATTGGGTGCTTGTACCCGTACATGATGTATCTTGGTTCTTATTTTTTCCGATTCCCTGTCCTCTCTCCCCCTACTCCACCCTTCCCTATTTACAAAGACTTTGTTTCCATTTTTTCCTTTTCTCATAATTTTTCCTTTCCCTTCTTTGGTAACCTTTCTTAAAAAACAACTGTGATAAAATTCAGTCCACAAAGTCATTCTCACCATTTTAAGCTGTTTCATCGTCCAAGCGTCTAATTAACATAACTGTATTACTGCTCTTGATTTGCCAGACTCAGAAATGTTTTGATTTCTGTTATAGGGATGAGGCTTTTTAATTTAATGACACAGCTCTCATCCTCTGGACTCTATCATTTTAGCTCAGCTTTTTGCTAAATTCGCATTCTGCACAATTAAAGCTAAGCACATACTACTCATCAAGAGCCATGTGGGATTTCTTTCACTTCCTCTAGTGTGAGCCCTGTATTCTGGATACCATGTCATCTTTCTGCTCAATTTATTCCCTCTTTTGGGTGGAGCACATAACTTCCAAAAAGAAGACACAAAGGAGTAAATCTGAGACTCGGTAGAGCCCAAACCAGTTCCTTCTCATCCTCGCATTCTGTTGATGGTCTGCTTGGACAGAAAACTATAGGCTGAAAGTATAATTAGAGGTGTTGACCCTGTCTCTTAAAGTTTTCAATGTCACTGATTAGTTCCATACCAGTTTTATTCCTGGTTCTTGGATAGGACTTGTTTTCTCCTCCAGAAGTTTTTTAAATGGTCTTCATTTTATTTCCAATGTCTTATTTCCTTTTTCTGAAAATTCACCACCATATACATTCTTTTATATCTTTTTCAATCATACTGAACCTTGGTAGGCATTTTTAACCTAAAAACTCCTTCAGTTCTGAGAGATTTCTTGGTAATTTCCTTCCTACCTTCTGTCTCTTTTAAATCTTCAGGCTCCTGGACTGACTCTCTAATTTTCCATTTCCACTGCTTTTCCATTTTCTATTTTGCTTTTAAATTTTTACTCTGTGGGAGAATTTCTTGAATAACTTCCAAATTTCACTGAATTTCTAAATTTTATCTGCCATATTTAAAATTTCTAAGATTGCCTTTATTCTTTGCTTTTTTCTTATGGAATGTTTTTCTTGTGCACACAGGTGCACGGCCTTCTCTTTGGGATATAAATTACAGGGTTTTTGGCATTTTTCTCTACTTCTACATTTCTATTTCTTCCAAAATTTCATTTTTTCTGCTTCTTTTTCTTTCATGTTATAGGTCTCCTACCCACGTCTGGTGATCTTCATCTATTCTATTGTTTTCTTAAAACAATTTTAAGGTACAATTTGTATATAAAATGTAACTATTTTGTATGTACCATCCCATAAATTTGGGTAAGCCTCTGTATCCATATAACCACTACCACAGAAAAGATACTAAACATTTCCATCACCCCCGAAGCCCCCTTCCCAGTTCACCCTCACCCCAGTCCTAACAACCACTAACCTGCTTTCTATCACTACAGCTCAGTCTTCCTGAGTTCATGCAGCTGGAATCAGACAGTACACAGCCTTCTGTGTATCACTTCTTTCTTTCACTGTGCATAATGCTTTTGGATTCTCTCATACGTACCACTCGCAATTCCTTCCTTCTTGAGTGGAATCCCTCTCCTAACTATCCTACCACGGCCAAGTATCCTGCTGAGGGTCATTTGCCCTGTTTCTGGTGCAGGCGACTCTAAGCAAGGCTGCAGCGAGCATTTGTGCTCCCATCTTCATGTGGAGGAATGAGGCCTCTTGAGGTGGGAGTGCAGGGTGGGCCTCCCCCATGGGGAAGCCATGCTTGGGGCTGGGCTTCAGAAGCCCAGCATCCCTCCATCTCTTCGAGAGGAGTGGCTGGTTTGCTTTCTCCAGAGCAAGAGCCTCCTGGCTGCAGGCACAGGCCTGACCAATGAGGATGGGAGCAAGGCTGGGGGCGGAGGGAGCTTGTTACTCAATAAAGACTTCTACTTCCTCCCTGCATTTGGCTGAGCCCTCATCCCTGCTCCTCTGTGCTGAGCCAGAGCCTCTCTGCTTCTGAAAAATAGCCCTGTAGTCCCTGCAGGGCTACACCCAAACTTCCTTGCACTAACTGTGATAGGCCCTATTGTCTCCCGACCATCACTGGGCCTTCAGGACAATGCTCTGCCTCAGTGTCCCCTTCATCACAGACACTCAGATGTGGCCACGCTCCTGTCTCCCATTCCCAAGTCCCCCATTTACCCCTTCCTCCAAGGTGACACTTTTGGGTTCCAAAATGCACTGCTTGGAGTTTGTGTTTCTGTTTCTTATCTGTCTTAATGCTTCGGATGATTTAAGATAAGAGGGTACTTAGAAACACTTGCTCTCCCAACAAAATCCAAAGTCCTTGAGTCAGTTTTGTGCTTTGTGAAAAGCAATGCAGCTCTGGGGTGGGCAGGTAGGAGTGTGGGTCCCCCAGCGCTTCGGGCTGCTTCCCCCGGCCTCATATCCCAGCTGGCAGCTCAGTCCTCACTCCTGCCACAGACCCGCTGGGGACCCTGAGCTTGTTTGGGAAGATTGACTCTGAAATAGGAACGTTTTCACAGTTTAGTATCAACCTAATAATCATGCACTTACACTTTAATGGGATTTGTGATTTGTCCAAGTCATTCTAGAGGTAGAAGAGCTTAAGTGCTTTGATCATCTTGTTTCTCAAACCAGCGGGACAGAGCCTGTGGGGAAACTGGGTCAGCAAGGTCAAGTGGGAGGCTCAAAGCCATGCACCTGGTTTGGCACAGTAAGAACTAGAATCCTGGTTATCTGACCCCAGGAGGGTCCTCTTATGTCATATGACCTCCTGGACATCACTGCCAGGCCACTGACCCATGACGACTACCGTGGGCTGGGAGAAAGGGAGGGAAGCAGGAGATACTGTGGACTCTAAAGGAGCAGCATCTCAGGTTGATGCCACTCAGCCCTCCAGCCTCCTGGGTAAGTCACAGTAATGCCACACTTCCCAACCCTGGACCTGCACATCTGAAACCATTTTCAGCATTCTCTCATCTGGGCACAGTGAAGCACCTGAGTTTAGTTTTTACTCCATCCCTCTCCCAGCCAGGGAGGAGGGGACAGACCATCTCTGCAGCGACGTGGGTGGGCTCGCCTCCCTGTCCCCTGGCATCCCTGGCCACTGTAGAACTGCGGGGACACATGCAGGCAGGAGGGCAGCCCCTGCTGAGCAGATGGAGCCCTGTCAGGGCTCCTTCCTTCCCATAGGAAGTTCTGGGCCTCTTCTCAGAAACACCTCAGAAGCAGCAAGTTCTTGGAGACAAATCCATGCCAGTGGGAGGGTTTTGTTGTTCTGTGGGGTTAAGTAACTTTTTAAAAACAAAATAATAATAATGATAAGGACAATGACAGAAAGATACCTACCTAAACTGAATTCTAAAATGGGCTCATCTGGATCTTGTATATTTCCTGAATAGGAAAGAAATGACAGAAAAAGCACCCTTTATAAACCTTATCTTGTTCTTAAGTTTAATTAAAAAAAACCTCCACTTTACTTGGTCCCTCCCCCCACCCAAACTATTATAGGAGATTAATTCTTCATTTTCTAAACATTTTGCCTTAGTGATTCCCAAGACATCTCAGACACCAAGACCAAGCCATCTTCCTCTGCAGGCCTGCAAGTCACAACAGCGAGGCCTTTTACCATGGTGGGCACTTGCCAGATGGCACTGTGCACCTTCCCATCTCACCTCCTGGCACCAAGTCCTGGAGAAGCCAACCAAAGTGGAAAACTGAGATGACTGTGTTCTGGCAGAAGTGGCCCCCAGAAATGGCTGCCTTCCCCTGCCAGGCTCCTATGTCACCCAGAAGGATGCCATGCCAGGCACCCTCCCTCACCCCTCGAGGTAGCCTGTCCTCCCAGTGCCGCTCCAGCCCTGTGAGGCTCACCTGCTAGAGAGAGCCCCAGCATGTCGGCTGCCACATCGATGGTGGAAGCCCGCTGCATGGCACGGGCCCTGGCACCGTGGCGAGGGCTGTGCTCTCTTGCTGTCATGATGTCATTGGTGAGGATGTGCTTCTTGTTCCTGGATCAGATCACACCTGATGCCCCCAGGAAGCGGCGTCACCAAGCCCTAGTGTCCTATGGTGGCAGTAGCCCTGAGAAATAGGAGCAAATATTAGTAAGAAGCCAAAAGATGGTTGCATGAGGAACAGGGTTGGAATGGATGCTGCTCTCAGTCTCTTCTAGTTACTTCTTCCTCCCTATGCCCCAACACAACAGTGTGCCTGTGCATCCCACAGGGAAACCACCTCCTCTCCACAAAAATGCCTTACTAAAAGGTGGCCTCAAAGCAATCATAAACCAGGACTCTGAGATTTTTCTTGTTGCTGTATTATGCTTTTCTGTTGGGAGGTCTCTCACAGAATCTTTATGACCTTAAATCAGTTCGCCACAACTTCTGACAGGACAGAGCTGAGTGGAGAGTGTCCCATGCATACACTACCCCAGTGTGGCAGACTTGGTAGAGACAAAGCCTGAGCAAGTCTCTAACCTGCTTTCCCCTTTCCTGAGCCTTGCAGACTTCCTGTGTGCCGTGGTGGTCTAGGGCTCTCTTTCACTTAATGGAAGGGGAAGGTGCGGAGCTGAGTCAGCAGAGGCCACCCTGGCTCTGCTCTCAGAAACAGGTTATGCAACAAGATGGGAACTGTAGGTCTGTCCAACCCTATGTGCTCCAAGTCCTGACTAAGTTAAGAATTACACTGAGCCGTAAGCCTGGTTAAAAACATACTCTCAAAGGTTCCCCGGGCCGGGGATTTAGCTCAGTGGTTCTGCCGCCTGCCTCACAAACGCAAGGACCCGAGTTCGATCCCCAGTACCAAAAAAAAAAAAAAAAGGTTCCCCTATACCAGGGACAACCCAACTTCCAAGGGTGTCTACCCTCTGTTCCTGAAGGACCTGGGCTTTTGTTCATGCGTTAATTCACCAAACGACTTACTGGACATGTTCGTGCTCAAACCATGTGGCATTTCTTCATAGATGCATATCCAAATCCATCACCTAAAAACAGAGAAGGACAGGCTTGAGCTGATCCATCATGAGGCTTCAGAGAATGTGATGTTAGAAAGGTGGGGAGCAAAAACTCCTCCACATTTACTGCTACTCACTGCAATCCAACCTTCGGCTCAAAAGCACAAATTCTGCTCAAACTCCACAGAATGGGAAAGAAAAAGTGCACAGTCCCCTTTTCCTCTAGAAGTGATCTGGCAGGGCAGTGTGGTGCAGGGAAAATTAAGTGATGAAAATGTGACTCCCCACTTTCCGGCTCACAGAGCACAGGCCCCTGGAGAGGATGCCCAGCCCTGCTGAGCAAGGCTTTTTTGTGTCTAAGATGAGGCTAGCTGTACCCATCACACAGGGCTGTAGTTGAAAACCAAGTGTAAGAACAGGAGAGAGCCCCACAGATGCCACTGAGCCCCCACATCTGGTACCCCGCCCGGCTCCTTCCTTCCCAAGGGAACCCCAGGCCCCACTCAGTCCTGGAGCTGCTGTGGGGCTGTCACAGCAAGGCCAGCTCATGAGCCACCAGAAAGGACCAAGTCTAGGAACTGGAGGACAAGAGCTACAACTCATCCTCTCGAAGTCGGGGCCTGGCACTCCCACTGGGAGCACCCAGGGACTTTCAGCCTGGGCACCTCAGCAGCGAGGGATATGGCCTGGTAGGGTAGCCAAAGAAATCATGAAGGAGAAGACTCACAGGTCTGGCAACGTCAAAAGGCAAATAAGGGCTGGGCACATAGCTCAGTGGTACAGAACTTGCCTAGTGTGGAAGGCCCTACATTTGATATCACACACACACACACACACACACACACACACACACACACACACACAGTAGAGAAGTAAAAAAGTAACAATGAGAGCCAGGCATGCTGGTACACATTTGTACTCCCAGTACTTGAGAGGCTGAGGCAGGAGAATCATTGGAAGATCAAGCCCAGCCCAGGGCTACACAGAGAGACCCTATCTCAAAAACAGAAACAAAAACAAAGAAAGAAACAATGAAAATGATAAAACTGAGAAAGTACCTATTCTACTAAACCTTACACTTTACAGTAACACTGGTATGAATTAACAAAAACTCACTAATAATGCGAGTGGCAAATGGTATGAATTCATGAAAGAGGAATATACCTAGTAAAATGGGTCAAACTGTAATAATCAAATCAAGGCTAAATATACCCATCTTCCTCTAAATTAGTTTTTCAATGGAGGCCTAGCTGTTCTAGGGAAAACACACACTGCTGGGGAAAACTGCATAGGGCTGTCCTAGTCTCCTGACAACACTGAAAAGTAGTAAAAGCACTTCAAAGGACAACTGATCAAATTTTATAAACAAAACAATCACAGCATTTGTAAACACCAACAAAATGCTTTCCAACAAATCTGAACATGGAAAAGATGTCTGCACGAAAATGTTTACTGCATACTTCTGACAACGGACCAGGAGCAGTCTAAATGCCCAGCTTACAGGAACATTTGGGAACATTCATAAGACAGACTATTACACAGCTGTTAAGATGACCATAAAGCCAATTAACACATGAAAACTCAACCTCACTAGTCATCTAGGTAATGTAAAGTAAACCCACGAGATCTCCCTGCACATGCATGAGAAGGGGGAATGATAAAGGCAGACGATACTAAGTGCTGGTGAGGATGTGGCGTAGTAACTGGAACCTGCTGCTGTGGAAGGAAGCAGTGTGGCCACCCTGGATCCCCAGGACCTCCTGTTCAGGCTGCATAGGCACCCACCCAGTGACTGTCGATACAACTCACAGTGCAGAACTAAAAGAAACACATATTTATGTTTAGTTAAAAGACAGTCAAGAGTGTTTGGACAGCAACAGTCACAACAGTGAGGCCATCTCAACATGCACCAACAGTGGGACAAAAGGAACAACAAGGATGAATCTGAGGGACAACACCAAGGGGAGAGCAGGCACCAGGAGCCATTCCAGGCAAGGCCTCTGGTGTAAAGTCCAGGCACAGACCTGGGTGCGACATCAGTGCCAGGACAGAGCTCCACCTTGAGCCACTTCCCAGAGTGTTCCCAGTATCTCACCTGGGTGGAGAATGTGCCATGAGCATGTTCACTCAGCACAGTGGAGACACGCCACCTGATGGGGCCACATCTGCACTCCAACATCTTCTCAGCCGCAGGGGCCCCAAACCCATTTACTGTTTCCTCCTCCCCTGCCCACTCTACCTGCCCGCCGTTCTCTCACGAGGGTGACTGGTCTCACTGGCATCACGAGGACTTTGGAGACAGAAATGCTGAAGGGGGAGGGGCATCTACAGACTAGTTTCATACTGGTTCATAGGCCAGGGAAACTTCTAGGTCAAAAAGACCTGAGAAGCCTCCTCACCATCCTCTGCGGGGCATTTAATTAAAATCTGCAATTTAAGTCATTAAGACCCAGAATGCAAAGCTAATTTGCACAGCTGATCTCAATTTCCCCATTTAGTCTCATTAATTTAAGAAAATTCACCAAGGATGCCTATATTCCCAAGGCCACTGTTTTTCCTCCCAGCTCCATTTGAAGACCACAGCTCATTAGAAAAAAGAAAAACTGGCTTAAATAAAGGAGGACACAAAGTATGGGGGAGTTACCAGATGGCTGGAATTTCTTCCTAGGGGCAAAACAAAGCAACAACTCATGAAACTCACTGCTTCCCCCACTCCCCTGTGACCAGAGGACACCAGCCATCGGATGAACAGCAGGCCCTGAGGGTCCCACCCACAAGCGTCCCTCCCCACCAGAGGGCAGGGCGATGCTGGCGGGGGGAATGTTAGTGAGACAGACAGGTGTAAGGGTCTGACCCGGGAGTGGGAGTCCTGAGGGCTGGCAAGGAAACTCCAGCCTCGTATCTTGGAGAGTGCATCTCCGACTCTTTTGTGCATCATTTGCCTTCTTTCCCCCTCTCATCACTCAGAAGTGCAGCTGCCGGTTGTCTCCTATTGGGTGGCAACTTCAAAATTCTGTTGGCTCCTGCCTCAGTTATCACCTGGACTCCAGAGTCAGACCACCTGGGCTGAAGTCCATCTTGGTAGTGTTCTTGCCGTTGGTTCTGATCAGTGACTTAACCTCCTTCAAAGTCCTGCCAGCTTCCTGCCTCAGGGTGACAAGCCGACAGAAGGCTTCACTCCATGAGCAGCAGCACAGGCCAGTGCAGGCTCAGCACACCCACTGCCTCCCTCCACAGCTCCATTCTGCTCCCTGCACCTGCCAACATCAGTCACCAGCAAAAGGACAGGTTGCACCCACAGCGCTAATTCAAGCAGCTACTTCACTTTTCTCTTTCAAACAGAAGGGAAGGGGCATAAACTGCCCAGGAAATTTCATCTTTTAAACAAAGTAAATAGTGTCTCCCTTCATAAAAAGCAAGCAAAGCTGCCTGCCTCAAAGGATCAGATAGTAAGTGGGCAGCAAAGGCCAGATGCCTCAGGCACAAGGACAGGGCTAGAGAACTGGGACCTTCTTATCCCCCTCCTGCTTTGGCCTCAAGCCCACATGCCCCTGGCTCTCTGGTCCACAGAAGGCTCTCCATGCCAGCCTTCAGCAGCCTGGACCCTTGGATCTACCTACAAAGCCCAGAGTGGGGCTCATGAGTCCAGCCACCTGCCTAGCTGTGCCACTACAATCCCTCCTCCTCTACAAGAACTGTGCAAGAGCAGCTGTGTTTCTCCTGGCCTCAGTCTCACCAGCTGCCTCACGAGAATAGCACCTGCTTCACCAGTATACACCAAGGAGCAAGCACCTATGTAAAGCAACACCTAGAACACTGGCTTAAAGCCTGGTGCCCAGCTGCTGGCCAGGTCAGCTCTCTCCTGTGCTTTTCCTCTCCTCCCCAGCCACACTTGCACTGGGGCTCTTGAAACCAGAAGCCTTTGCCAACAGCCAACTCTTCTCTCTAGCCTTCCCTAACTCCTCCACACAGAACTCTTCACCAAGGCACAACAGCCCTTGGCCTGAGATAGTTTACAGTGACCATGTTTTCTAAAGCAAAAATTAGAAGGAATCATGAACAGAAGCCTGCTCCTGGAGGCTTTGTTTGGGGTGAGGGGGCCTGGGCCCTGGAATCACACCAGCAGGGAGACAGAGCTGGTACCTGGTGAAGCACTGAAAAGCATGTGACCTTCCACAAAGCAGCATCCCTGTGCCTCAGTTTCCTCGATTGTCAAATGAGGAAATGACTGCTGTTGGAGGTATTCGTGGCCCTCCAATCAGGGACATGTGAAAGGAGACCCCAGTTTGCTAGGAAAGTGGGGTAGAGGCCCTGTCCCTCCAGGTACACATCTATTAGGACCCTGTCCTGAGAGGCCCCCATTCTCACTCCCTCAGAGCCAGGGCCCAGCTCTCACCACTTCTTGCTCCTATACCTGCACAGAGCCTCAGTCAAGGGGCAGAGAGGGATGCAGTGAGCAAAGCTCTGACTCATGGAATGTGTGCTGCAAAACACGTTTAGCCCAGCTGGTGCTTAAGAGCAGAAAAGCGTAGTGGGTTAGAAAATGTAGCACAGGAAGGCATGAAAGTGCTAGCTATTTGCATTCCTTCTCACCCACAGACACAAACAACCCCACCCAGGGCCCCCTTGGTTTGTGCTCCCTGGGAGACAGCCATTTACCTACCTCCAGCTTCCCACTGCTCCAAACTCTGTCCCTGCCAGCAATGGTGAACACACAGCAAGGGAAGTGAGTTCCCCCACTTCATTAAGTGGCATGCCTCATTAGTTTAATGGGTATGGGAAGTGATATGCCTGATTCCTGATGCAAATTTACGTCAACACGGGATGACAGTCATCTTGTGCTATGGTCCAAATGGGTCCCCCAAATTTGTATTCTGAAAGTTAATGATCAGTGCAATGGTATTAACAGGGGCCTGCAGGAAGTGATTAGATCAAGAGGACTCCATTCTTGGGGACAGGATGATCCTTTCTAAAAGGCTGGGGGGAGCCATCTGGGCCCTATTTGGCCTTCTGTTTTCCAACAGTGGGGT